TCCTGCTCTAGGTGCAGTTAGTGAATAACTCCTTCAAAGGTATTAAGTACCTACGGCTCAACACGCTAGCGTCTCTAGGCTACGCTGTGGTGGTGATTGATGGAAGGGGCTCTTGCCAGCGAGGACTCAAATTCGAAGGGGCCCTTAAAAACCAGATGGTAATACCCTGTTTTTACTGTGTCTCCTTCCGCTTCCTTCCCTCTTCCCGGCTTGTCGAGCAGCCTGTGTGTGTGTGTGTGTTTCCGTGTTTCCGTCCCTGCCTTGTTCGGTGTCTCTTCAGTTACAAGGGAGGAGACAAATTGACTTACACCTTTCCGTTACCTCCTCCTAGGGTCAGGTGGAGATAGAGGACCAGGTGGAAGGTTTACATTACGTAGCAGAAAAATACGGGTTCATCGACCTGAGTCGGGTAGCCATACATGGCTGGTCTTACGGGGGCTTCCTCTCCCTCATGGGCCTTATCTGTAAGCCCCATGTATTCAAGGTGAGTCTGGCTAGGGTCAGGTGTCCTTCTCTAAGTCCCTGCTGTGTCTGGGAGGACTAGGGCTCTGCACCTGTCAGTGGCCTTTACTCTTTGCTGCCCTTGGTGGCTTGTGGACCCAGACTGTAGTGAAGGGTGAAAAGTTCCCTCCCCTCAGCCTGCTGCTAGCATGCCAGAGCTCCTCCCCAGAATCAGGCAGGTCAGCATGCGTCACACTTACCCTCTGGGTTCGAGACCAGGCATGGCGTGTGGGGACTCAGGCAAGTGGGGTTTAGGCACTGTGCAGAGGGAGACACTACAGTGTTCTGAGCCAGCAGACATATAGGTTAAAGGATTATTTGTTTGTTCATGGCACCGAAGAGCCCCAGTTCTGGGCCAGGACCCCATTGTGCCGGGTGCTGTACAAAGACAGTCCCTGCCCCAAAGAGGTTTAATTACTCTGCATCCCCCAGCGACAGGCTGTAGCATAGCTTCCCATGAGACTGTTACTGCCAGTACTGCGGTAGTGATTTTAAGTCTTGAATGGGAAGGAAAATAACAAATGGGGGAAAAAAATTCACCAACCATCTAGACCTCTAAGTCTCTGACTCCCTGGTTGTGGGATACTCTGGTGCAAATGACCAGGGTTGGCAGGGGAGAATCACCATGTGCAGAAACAGATGGGCTTCCCCCCAAAAAATGTCCTAGAAAAGGAAAAATGAACCCCCCCATACATGTTTGGCAGGTTGCTATAGCAGGTGCCCCTGTCACTGTTTGGATGGCGTACGATACCGGATACACCGAGCGGTACATGGATGTCCCAGAGAACAACCAGCCAGGTTATGAGGCCGGCTCTGTGGCGCTGCATGTAGAAAAACTCCCCAATGAGTGAGTACTGTGGAGTTGGATACTTATAATTGGAAATCCACCCTCTGGGCACTTGTACTATGAGGAGTGGTAGAGAATCTGTAATGCTTTCTGGTGTGTGTGGGGGTGTTGACGTTATTAAAAAGCTCATAGGAATAGCCCTTCCTGGTTTTATGATTGTTCCTTGGGTTCTCCTCCCTGGTTCCTGAAACTCAGCTCAGGCAGCACGGGCCAGTGTACAGCATGTCGGGTTGCTGGTCACCAGTTAGCACCAGTGGGGTCCAAGTCCAGGGAGAAGAGCCCTGGCCAGAGCAGGGCACATCTGGTTGCTGCCAGTCACCTTCCAGCTGGGCTGGCCTGAAGTGCTTCACTTGGAAGGAAGATCAAGGTGCAGGAAGATGATGACCAGGGAGTCTAGCTAGAGGGGCTGGTTGGGGAAGAGTTTCTTCAGCTTGGAGAACATCTGTCTGGAGGGCCCTGAAGGTTTGTTTGAGTGGTTCCAGGACCCATTTAGCCTTATTTCCGCTCAGCTCATCACTGCCTTCTGCAGCGAGCCAGAGTGGCATTGTGCTCACCCACCCTCCTCTTCCCCTGCCTGGGAAGAGGCAGGGCTCCAAGCCTGTGGTGCTGCGCCATGCCCAGGGGGGTAATGCTGGCTAGCATCTCACCGCTCAGGGCTCCGCTCTGATTCTCATCCCATCCCATCCCATCTCCAGGCCAAACCGCTTGCTGATCCTCCATGGGTTTCTGGATGAAAACGTGCACTTTTTTCACACCAACTTCCTGGTCTCCCAGCTAATCCGGGCTGGAAAGCCTTACCAGCTGCAGGTAGGAGGGACTGGAGTGAGGTGGGAAGGTCTCTTTAGCCTGGAGGCAGTAGAAAACTCCCCCCCACCACCGCCCCCAATCCCTCCAAGGGGAAATATGAGTGGACCGTGGATGCTCCTGCACCTGGAGAAGCAGAGAGTTCTCTCCTATAGAATAGAATCATAGAATATAAGGGTTGGAAGGGACCCCAGAAGGTCATCTAGTCCAACCCCCTGCTCGAAGCAGGACCAATTCCCAGTTAAATCATCCCAGCCAGGGCTTTGTCAAGCCTGACCGTAAAAACCTCTAAGGAAGGAGATTCTACCACCTCCCTGACTTCCTGTGGCAAGGACTGGCTTGTTGGCAGCTGACTGCACAGGCCTGGCCAGTAGGTGGCACTGTCACTACTTGATCCGCCGCGTGTTCCAATGCTGAGTGGTAGTTTGGAATCTGGACTCTCACCCTCTTGGCTGGTGTCCGTCCTCCTTCCCCTGCACTCTGCGGCTGGGAATCTCCTTTCCCCCGGTGGCCTCTGACCTCGGGCAGTAGCTACTACTGCTGCTGCCGCTGAGTGGGCTTCTCAGGCCTTTGGCTTGCAGTTAGCCGGCCACCGTAATGGAGTGCCGGGGTCGCCGTCTCTCCGGACCGCCATTTGCTCCCCTAGAAGGGACTCCGCCTTCTGAACTGAGAGGCAGGCTAACGGGAGGGAATGACTTATTCCTAGTTAACGGCCATCCCTTTTGCTTCTGCGCAGATCTACCCCAACGAGAGACACAGTATTCGGTGCCCCGAGTCCGGAGAGCATTATGAAATCACACTGCTGCACTTTCTACAAGAATACCTCTGAGCGCACAGGCCTCTGCAAACTGTTGGACGCTGACAGCTCAACTCTGCCTCCTGCCGCTGCCCCCCCAACCCCGAAAGCCACCTCATCCAGTGCACAAATCACTGCGTGCCCACCCCCCACCGGGGGTGCTGCCTCCAGTGAGGGGGAGGGTGGAAGTCACCCCTCCTGTTTCCTCTGGATGGTGCCACCTTCCTTCACTTTCCAAGCTGGAGCTCTGCCCTGCTCAGCTGCTCACCTCTCTGGCCTGGCTGTTAATGCTTTTTTTGCTGCTACTCCCTCTACACTGGGAAATCAGTGGACTGTCTCCAGAGGCTGAGGTCTGCCTCTCTCCTTTTTCCTTCCACTGCACCTCCATGCACCTGCCTGTGCTGGAGATGGATGAGCCGAATCAGCAAGCTGCCTTAAGCCAGGAGGGAGAGGATGATCCACTGCTACATCCTGTGGGGTTTGATCACTGCTGCTGCTTCCTGGCCGTACATGACGAGCATCTGAGCCCTGGGATCTGAGAAGAGCTCCGAAGAAGCATGCAACACTAATCTCTCTCTCTTTTTTTTTTTTAATTAATTTTGCAGAGCAGATTGGGGGAAGCAGCTGGGGTTGGTGACAGTTAATTAGCCTCTTTGGGCACCTTTCTCCGATCGCCGCTAGGGGCAGAATCGTGCCAGCAGGGAGCATGGCAGGTGCAACATCTGGCTACAGCCAGAGCAGCACTCGCCTGTACAGAAACCGCAGCTGCAGCATCTGGATTTTGCCACACACGATGGATATTTATGCAACTACTTATTCCCCCCCGCCCCCCGTTGCCTTCCTTCCCCTCTACCCTTCTTCGTGCTGTGTCCCGACCCTGCCTTTCTCTCCTCACCCGTGCCCTGAGCTTTCAGACATGCACTGAAATTGGCTGTGCTTCAGTTCTCTGCGGGTCAGTGACTGTTTCCCTCGCGCATCTATTTGGTGAACACTCTCTTCTGGTTTTTATTTTCCTACTCAACAGGAACTGCAGTTCCAGGGAGGGTGGGGTCGAGCAATTGCACCTCAGGGGAGCACCCACCCCCCAAGCCAAGGGTTCTGCCAGGGGCAAAGAAAAAAAAAAAAAGAAACCCACCCTAATGAACCACATCAACTTGCCCTCGAGTATTTTAAGTGCGTATTATGAAAAGAAAATATTTTTATGGATTCTTATTCTTTTATAATTATGAGTGTACGATGTAGCGACTCATTAAAATATTGGAAGCAGACCCAGCAGTGCTCTCAGTGGTCCTCAAACTGCCTGGGAACCCTAGGGAGGGAGGCAGTGGCTGAAGCGGCTGGTGTGGGGAGTGCAAAAGGTCCTGTTTTGTTGCTGAGCACTGGGAATGAACCATGCCCTTACAGCACTCCTCAGGGGAAGCATGGGTGTGGGGTTGAAATTGCAGGCAGCTGGGACTCCTGGATTGTAGGCCTGCCACCGGCTGAGTGCCTCCTTGGGGGAAGACGTGTTGAAAAAGGTTGGCCTCAGGTCTGTATTTTGGTCCCTTAATAAGTGGCCTGACTCTTCAAGAGGAGCTGAACCACCAGCAGCAGCTCCCCCTGGTCACTGTGGGAGTTGAACGTGCTTGCAACTCTGGACATCAGGCCACGCAGGTACATTTGACATCTAAGGGTTTGATCCCCACAGCGAAATGCGGGCAGGTGGTCCCCTGGGCAGAGCCCCTCTGCGTGGCTGCTCAGGCCTGCCTGTGCTGCTCTTATGGCATAATTGGGGTGGGAAGTTTGAAAAAATCAGCCTTAATTTGACCCTCTGTGTAAGGGAGTAATGCATTAATTAAGCCTGGGAGAGCTGGAGCTGGTGGTCCTGTTCAAGTTCAGAGTATTATCTCATAGCCAGGGCATCTACCGGATCTTTGAAGACCCCAACCTAGAAGATCCTCCGGCCTGGTGGCTACTCACAAATTGCCCCCCCTCCTCTTCCATCTTGGCCTGACTCTAGCTGCTTCAGGAAGTCCTGTTGGGTAACAGACTGAGCAGCAGGGCTGGGGGAGGGAGGTGGAGGAAGTTGCACACATCTGCAGTTCCCTGAGTGAAGGTACTGGTGGCCTCACATTGCAGTGAGAAAGAGAGAGATTAGAGTGGCTTGCGCTTTCTCCTGGCCTTTGGAGATCCAGGTAAGTAAGTGCCAGTCAACAACAAAGCCTTTGTGTGTTTTCGGGGATTGTTTCTCTTCTGTCTTCCTTAATCCTAACCGCTTCTTCACCACCGAAAGAGCGATGGATTGCAGGACAGACCCAAGCCCTTTGAGCCCCTATTCCCAGCCTGCTAGGTCCTTTTTCCTCCTCCTCCTCCTCCTCAGACTGTGTGGTAGGCGACTGGCAATGAGCCAAGAAAAAGAACTTTAAAAAAAAGTCCTTCTGAAGCGTTTACAAACCTCTCTCAGCTACTGCAGTCCCCCAGGCTCACCCCTTGCATTTGTGAGACTCTTCCAGGCCGTGGAGGGTGGCTGTTTTTCCTGTGTGGAGGATTGAGAGCTTGCAAGGCAGTAGCTGGGAAATCAACCTCCTCCAATTGGGCACTGCTGACAAATTATGTAAAGAGCCTCCACCTTATTTCTTTCAGCTGCTCCTTACCTTCTCCTTACCTCTGTGTCGCTGAAGCCAGGTTCAATGCTGCTTGCTGCATCTGTCTCTCAGAAAGGTAGCTGCTGACAGATGTTAAATGACTTGCACCTGGAAGTGAATGGTATTGGGGGATTCGGTGTGAGTGTTGATGATACTCCATTAGACTGGGACTGATCACCTGAGCTGGCTGGGAAAGGAATTCTTTCCCTGTGGAAAAATTGAAAAACCAAATTATTTGTCCATTTTTTTCTGGGTTTTTTGCAATGTGGAAAATGTTCTGATTTTAGGGGCCAGAACGTTGTTTTTAAAATCACAATTTTTTCAGTTTGTGGTTTTGACAAATACCTGGGTTTGTTTTTTTTTAAGAAAAATCAGTTTAATCAAAAGTCACTTTCTGGCCCCAATGTTTTGATAGAAAACTTTCTAGCATTTCCCTTGATTGCTGCACAGTGTAATATTACTGTCCAGTAGTGGTGCAACTGTGTGGGTCCCAGGATATTTGAGAGAGAGGGTGCATGAGGTAATGAAATCTTGAAAGATTACAGCCCCTACCTTGCCTCTCTGTTTAGTGTCAAAGTAGCTATGGGTCTTTGGAAGCCATTAGACCATGCTTCGTTCATGGGAGTCCTGTATGTTCAGGGGGAGAAGCTTTGAGCCCTTTGATCGCTTTTTCACCCCTGCTGAAACTGTATTGCCACATTCTGGAGTGTTGTTGCTCAGAGAGGCAGAACCCGGCGCTCTGCATTATTTACAACACTGCAGTGGTTTATAAGGTGGTGGCTGGAAGACCAACGCATTCCTGGGGCTAGGGGTGTGTGGTGGGGGGGGGGCCTGCAGCCCTGGTAGGGGGAGGATTCTTGTTATACAGCTGGAAAAATAAAGTATAAAATACACCAGAAAATTCTCCTGAAGGGATTTCACTGAAAACATCTTTACCAGCTTCTGACCTTCCCCGAGCCCCCTTCACACGATGGTGCCAGCAGCTATGTCTAGCACTCACGTTTGTTCTCCATTAACACTGTGTAGCATTGCAGTGCCTTAAACAGCTCCTCTTTTCCACCCCAGAGCTAGCTGTATTTTTGACGTGGAAAAGGGGATTCCTTTGCAGTAGCCCTTCAGCTACTTCTAGGCTGTTAGGCAGGATGCTATTCTCCAATACACTTAACATTTTGTAGAAATTCTACCTCTGCTCTAACTTTAAGGCTGATCTGACTCATGCAGTTGCTTGACAGCCAACACTTGGCTTCAGATGCCCCTTGCAACCTTAACTATAGAATGAGTGGCCTTGCTCCGCAACAGCGGGGTGAAACCGTTTCAGCTCTTTCTGGCTGAGGTGCACTGATTCCATCGATTGGGCTGGATTAGCCAGCACCCTATGCCACATCCACACTTGACCCTGGGGTAAATGACTGTATCAACACCACCGTTCCATTCATTTTACACCTGCTTGGCCTTGGGGTAAATGATTGCACAGGGGCCAGGGAAATGGAGAATCTGGTCCACTATTTAGAACCTTACCAAAGGGTGAGCTAAGGCATAGTGCTTGCTGTTTCCACCCTCCTGCGGCAACGCTTACACAGAACGAGGGCTCGAAACTATTTAGTAAGTGCTAGCTTCCTGAAGTGACAGATCTAGCTGAATCCCTGACCAGCCCAACCCTGTATGCTCTCTGGGAGGAAAGGGGAGAGGAAATCATCTTGTTCCTGTGAAGCTGACACAGGAGTAAAGGGATCTTTGGGGATGGTCTTTCAGCCGCAGTCACAGCGGGATTCTGAGCTGTCACAGGCTTCCCAGTGCAAGGCACCCTGCCTCAATTTCCGCTCTGTAAAATGAGGTTTACTGATATTGCAACAAAGTCTAGAGGCCCCAATTAGGGAGCTGTATGGAGGATGGTTTTGCAGCTCCTTTGCCTGCTTAAGTGCTTGGAGGGAGGAGACTGTCAGATCTACCTCCCTGTAACCCTAGGCATTAGACACCTTTCCTACAGTTCTCCTGAGCTGAGTCCCAGGGGGTAAGGCCCTGAGCTGAGAATCCAAGGCTCAATCCATCACACACAGCTCTGTGTTCACTCACGCTTTGCAATAAGCCTTGATACAAAGCAACAGCCTTCTCTCTTCCCTCCCTCGGTTTCTCTGACCTTATCCATCACACGTTCTATTTCTGCCTCTGATCATACTGCCCACAAACGGTTCGACTTAGCGCTGCGGGAGGACATGTAATCGTTTTCAGCAGCCACAGCCCAGGAAGGGAGGGGAAGCACTCTACCGTTTAAAAATATTGTGGACACGTTTTCTCCCAGCAGTAATTTTCAACTTGGTCTTTGGGCTGGGCTGGCCTCTGGCTTTCTGGCCAATAGGAAAACCAGCTTCCTAGAGATATTTGTCCATGATGCTTCTAGTCTCTTGCTCATGAGGAGGGTTGGATTTTTTTTCAAATCGATAAATGTCAGTAATCGTAGATGGGGAGGGGGAGGGATAGCATTGGCCTACTAAACCCAGGGTTGTGAGTTCAATCCTTGAGGGGGCCATTTAGGGATCTGGGGCAAAATTTGGGGATTAGTCCTGCTTTGAGCAGGGGGTTGCACTAGATGACCTCCTGAGGTCGTCCCTTCCAATCCTGATATTCTATGATTCTATGATTTCATCACACAGGCACAAACTGACCAAAAAAAATCCCACTGATGATGATTGAAACTGACAGGCAAAGTAGCTTGATAACTCAGAGTTTGATTTAAGGCTCTTGACTTTTTGTATAGTTGGACAGGTGATGTTGCCAGCGGGTGTTTTAATGGTTTATGAAGCTTTCACTTGTTGAATGTCAGCACCTACTGTTGTTAAATCAATATTGCCTGACCCTCCCCCCAACTTTCTGCAACTGTGAAAAATAAAAGATAAAAATTGGTTTTAAGCATTTCCTCCCTATCATTTTGCACAGCCACAAAAGCTTAAATTGATTAAAAAACCCTTAAAAATTGTCTGTTGAAATTATAAAAAAAATACAACTTAAGCTGTACCACTCAGCTTGTGACTTTTGCCAGTTAGCAGCAGCAGGCTTTGGGCTAAATACCCAGGGGACACATACTGAACTCCCAGCCTCTTCGTAACCGACCAAGCTGCAGGTCCCTGCAAGAAGCGCAGGGAGCGTCTAGCCACTGCAGAGGGGAGACTCGTGCTCGCTCAAGCTGATCTAGCACTGAGACCAGTATGGTGGATGGTGTGGCTCTGCCTAGACACCTGAGCTTGGACCCCAGTGGGCAAACCGGGTGGCTCGCCCGAACCGCTGCCCACGCCAAATGTCTGCACCTGTGAGCTCAAGCTAAGCAAGCGTGAGTCCGGCTGCTCGCCTTGGGAATCGCGCAGTGTAGACGTACCCTTAGAGTTCAGCCAGAGAGGCCGATCCAAGCCCGAGGTGCAGCAGAACCAAGGTCATTGCTGGGACGCTTCACAGAAACAGCTTGGGCAGGAAGGAGTGGAAGGCGAGGGAGCTGACAACGAGGGAGGCAGCGCCGAGGGGCTGTTTGAAAGAAGGGGCGGAGATGAGAATGGGAGACAGATGCTCCGGGGTAGCGAAGTGTATTAATGATGAGGCAAATTGTACAGAAATGAGAAGTGATGGAATCGATTAGACAAAGTCTGGGCCAAAATCACTTGGGGGAAGAAAGCTACCAGAGGGGGTTCCCCTGGGCTAGCGGCTGGCGTGTGCTACAGCCCCCAGGATCTGCTCTGGATATGGAGAGAAACCTTCTAAATGTTTTTAATGAAATAAACACTGCTGGGAATTGTGTGATTATGGGAGACTTGAACTGCCTAGATACAGAGTGGAGGATAAGTGCTACTAATAACAGTAGGGCCCAGATTTTCCTGGATGGGACAGCTGACAGCTTTCTTCACCAAATAGGCGCTGAACCAACAAGAGGCGGAGCCATTTAGATTTGGTTTTGGTGAGCAGGGAGGACCTCAGAGAAGAGCTGGTTGTAGGGGACAACCTTGGCTGGAGTGATCATGAGCTAATTCTGTTTACGTTAAATGGAAGGATAAACAAAAAGAGCTCTGCAACTAGGGGCCTTGATCTCAAAAGGGCTAACTTGGAAAAATGAAGGGAATTAGTTAGGGAAGGGGACTGGACTGAAGAACTCAAGGATCTGAATGTGGAGGCGGCTTGGAATTACTTTGTCAAAGCTGCAGAAGCTCTCTGAAGCCTGCGTTCCAAGCAAAGGGGAAATATTCGTAGGGAAGGGTTGCAGACCAAGCTGGCTGAGCAGACATCTCAAACAGGTGATTGAGAGGAAGCAGAAAGCCTACAAGCAATGGAAGATGGGAGGGATGAGCAAGGAAAGGTCAGAAAGTGTGGGATACAGTGAGAGCTGCCAAAGCAAAGCTGGACCTTGCAAAGGGAATCAAAGCCAATAGTAAAAAGTTCTACAACCATATAAATAAAAAGGAAACAAGGAAAGAAGAAGTGGGCCCACTAACCACTGAGGAGGGGGTAGAGATTAAAGATCATCTAGGCATGATCCAACCCCTAAAAGAATACTTTGCCTCAGTTTTAATAAGGGTAATGAGGAGCCTAGGGGTAATGGCAGGGTGGCTAATGGGAATGAGGATATGGAGGTAGAAATGACCACATCCGAGGTGGAAGTCAAACTCAAAAACCGTAATGGGGGCCCAGATAATCTCTATCCAAGAATATTAAAGGAACTGGCACATGGAATTGCAAGTCCAGTAGCAAGGATTTTTAATGAATCTGTACACACGGCGGTCGTACCATATGACTTGAGAATGCTAATACAGTTCCTATTTTTAAGAAAAGGGGGGGAAAAGTGATTTTGGAAACTACAGGCCTGTTAGTTTGACCTCAATTGCAAGGTCTTGGAACAAATTTTGAAAGAGACAGTAGTTAAGGACATAGAGCTGAATGGTAATTGAGATAAAATATAATGTGGTTTTATAAAATGTAGATCTTGCCAGACCAGTCTGATCTCCTTCTTTGAGAAGATAACTGATGTCTTAGACAAAGGAAATGCAGTAGATCTAATCTACCTAGATTTCAGGAAGGCATTTGGTACAGTTCCACATGGGAAATTATTAGTTACAATGGAGAAGCTGGGGATTAATGTGAGAATTGAAAGGTGGATAAGGAATTGGTTAAAAGGGAGACAACAACGGGTCATATTGAAAAGTGAATTGTCAGGTCAGAGGGAGGTTACCAGTGGAGTTCCTCAGGGATTGGTTTTGGGACCAATTTTATTTAACATTTTTATTACTGCCTTTGGCACAAAAAGGGGGAGTGTGCTAATAAAATTTGCGGATGACAGAAAGTTGGGAGGTATTGCCAATACTGAGGAGGACCGGAAGGAATATCGTACAAGATGATCTAGACGACTTTGTAAACTGGAGTAACAGAAATGGGATGATATTTAGTAGTGCAAAGTGCAAGGTCATGCATTTAGGGACTAACAAGAAGAATTTTTGCTCTAAGCAGGGGACATATTAGTTAGAAGTGACAGAGGAGGAGAAAGAGCTGGGGGTATTGGTTGATCCGAGGAGGACTATGAGCCGTCAGTGTGATGCGGCTGTGAAAAAGGCTAATGCAGTCCTAGGATGCATCAGGCGAGGTATTTCAGTAGCGACAGGGACGTGTTAGTACCATTATACAAGGCACTGGTGAGACCGCATCTGGAATAGTGTGTGCAATTCTGGTCTCCCATGGTTAAGATGAATTCAAACTGGAACAAGTGCAGAGAAGGATGATCCGAGGAATGGAAAACTGACCTTATGAGAGGAGACTCAAAGAGCTTGGCTTGTTTAGCCTAACCAAACGAAGGCTGAGGGGAGATGTGGTTGCTCTCTCCAAATATATCAGAGGGAGAAATACCACGGAGGGAGAGGAGTTATTTAAGTTAAGAGCCCATGTGGACACAAGAACAAATGGCTATAAACTGGTCATCAACAAGTTTAGTCTTGAAATTAGACCGTTTCTAGCCATCAGAGTGAAGTTCTGGAACAGCCTCCCAAGGGGAGTACTGGGAGAAAAAGCCTAACTGACTTTGAGTCTGAGTTTGATAAGTTGATGGAGGGGATGGGATGGTGGGGCAGCCCATGATGGCATGTAACTGATCTGCGACTGCTAGCAGCAAATATCTCCAATGGCCGGTGATGGGACACTAGCTGGGGAGAGCTCTGAATTATGACAGAGAATTCTTTCCCTGGTGTTTGGCTGGTGGGTCTTGCCCACAAGCTCAGGGTCCAACTGATCACCATATTTGGAGTCGGGAAGGAATTTTCTCCCAGGTCAAATTGGCAGAGGCCCTGGGTTTTTTTTGCCTTCCTTTGCAGCGTGGAGTGCTGGTCACTTGCAGGTTTAAACTAGTGTAAATGATGGATTCTCTGTAACTTGAAGTCTTTAAACCATGATTTGAGGACTTCAGTGACTCAGCCAGAGATTAGAGTGTCTATTTCAGGAGTGGGTGGGTGAGATTCTGTGGCCTGCAATGGGAAGGAGGTCAGAGTAGAGAATCATGGTGGTCCCTTCTGATATTAAAGTCTATGAGTCTATTGGGGCAGTTAGGAAAGAGCAGAGGGGGACAGAACTCCCTGTGAGTGGGGAAAGAGGGTCCCAGAGGTTCCTACCTGCTCCCAGCCTGTTCCAGCTCCTCTGGGTCTCAGCCCCTGCTCCCCCGTGCCTGCTCCAACTTCTCTGGGTCCCACTGTTGCCTCTGCACCCCTCTCCCCAGGTGTGCCCAAGTTTAGAATATTTCCATTGCTGGTGTGCTCACCCTCTGCCCCAACTGCTTCCACCGCCCCTAGGCTGCAGCAAACCTGCCTGGCCGGTGCCTCACTTGGGGAGAGTCCTATTTCCTGTTGATCTCAGGCGTTGGGGAGGGGCCCATCAGTGGGCTGTCCTGGTGCGGCGGTGTTCGCGCAAATGGGGTGAGCCTGGGGGAGAACTGCCAGATGTAGTGGCATTGCCAGACTGGGTCAGATCCATGGGCCAGCTGGTCCAGGCTCCCAGCTCTGACCATGGCCAGCATCAGACACTTCAAGGGAAGGCGCAAAAAAACTCTGCTGTAGGCCAATGTGAAATAACCTGTCCCACCCTGGCAATCTCACCCTCACCCCTAATACAGAGCAGTTTGAGCCCTGAAGCCTGAGCGTTTCTCTCCCTTCTGGTTAGCATTAACTAGAGCCACTGGTTCTTCTGGTTACGCACAGAGAAGGCCAAGCCCTCCTTGAACCTTGCTAAATTCTTGGCTGCAAAATGGTGACGACCCCCTGGGGCGCAGGGCACACCAATGGCAGGTGTACGGCCGCCGGCAGCATGTTGCAATAGCCCCGCACTGCTGGCAGGGAGGAAGCCGCAGGCTGAGTCATTTCCAAGCGGCAAAGGCTGGGGGTTTTGTCCTCACGCAGAGATGCTGACGCAGCCATCAGGTTGATCTGAGTCATGATATGATCTGTGAGAGCCGGCCGTGCGCTCGGTCCTGAAGACAGCCAAGGCGCAAGTGCAGTCCCTGACCCAGGGAGCCTAGAGTGGCCGTGCGGACGGCACCCAGGGCTGTACAGAGACACAGGGCCCGGGAAGCAGAGCCGGAAAACCAGATCTTCAGACTGCTGCTGTGTTCTATTTTCTAAATCTCTGTTGAATACAGTGGGAGGAAGGAGGAAAGTGGCCAGTGTGCGACCAGCGACCTTGCAGCTGGTGGGAGGAAAAAGGGCCCAGCCGATAGCTCTGAGCCTGGATTCGTGTATGCAATACAGGGCTCGGCAGGACCAGCTGACATAGCCCCAGGCTAGACCTGGAGCTTGGGCCCCGTCCTCGGCCCCCCAGCTGAGCTGAAATCGAGGATATCATGGGCAATGGCTGACCTTTGAGGTGTTAGCAGCTAGAAACTGGACTGAGAGCCACCCACTGATTCCTGGTAGACGCTCAGCAGCTGTTCAGGTGATGGCACATTTCAGCCCTGGGCTGGATTGGAGCTGCCAGGCAGAGAGGGGTCTTTTACATGAATTTCCTAGGTCTCTGTGTTTGGAGGTTTCCCCATCAAGTTGCTGGCAATGGTGGGGAGGGGACGTCATAGCCTGAGTTACAATTGGGAACTGAAGGCAAGCTGCTCTTCTTGGCTCCTGTGCCCCTCCGTGCCCTGGCTTGGTGAGATGCCAGGATTAAACTCTTAACAGGTGCGTTTTAACCCACCCAGCCTGAGAGAGATGCAGTGGCCAATGCTGGTGGGGTCCCTTGTGGTCCTGCTGGGTGTGTCCGGGGCACTGGACCCTGCCCTGGAGGAAGGCTGGCGAGGATGGAAGGCCTTCCATGCTAAGGAGTATCCTGAAGTAAGTACTCCATCTCCTTCACTTCCTGGGCGCGCGATTTCCGCGCTCAGCTGCATTTGAACCAAACCGAGTGGCTAGAGCCTGAGCTTTCAGGATTTGGGGGTAAGGGAGAGGAAAGTGGCGAGCAAGGCCTTCTCGCAATCCAGAGCTTCTAGACCCAGCTGCCCGAGAGCGAGCAGCACCCACCAGGCCCGGCAAAGAGTTCCTGGAGAGTCAGGGTGGCTTGGCTGGGAGGTTGTAGAATCGGGATGTCAGTTACCCCTGTAGGGGAGCTCTTGCTTCCTTCCTCGCTGGGTTGTGATGGGGGATGGAGCGAACCTCAATGGCTGTAGGGGTTTGGCTTCTCCTCCCACCCTCTGGGAAGCCTCATGGCTCCCCCAGCTGGTGTGGGGTTTCAGCTGCTCAGGAGGGGTCCAGCCTCTTAGGCTGGATTTTGGCACATCTGCTCCCAGCTGGAAATAGAGAGATTCAGGTGCTAATGGAGCTGGGAAAAGGAAGGGTAGTCTCAGGGGGTGCCCTACTTAGCCAGGTGTGGGAGAGGAGGGGGACATGTGCTCTCCCCACAGACTTCAGCCCCTGCGAGCAACTGTGGTGCATGGAGAACGTTTGCTTACAGGGTGTGGGGGCCGCGGCCAAGCATAACCAAGCTGTTGCTCCGTCCCTGGCAGGAGGCGGAAGCTTTCCGCAGGGCGGTCTGGGAGAAGAACCTGCGGCGGATCGAGCACCACAACCTGGAGGAGTCTCTGGGGAAGCACAGCTACCGTCTGGAAATGAACCACTTCGGGGATCTGGTAACCTGCCCCCCAGCGCAGATCCTGGAACTTTAGGGTGACCAGCCAGCAAATGTGAAAAATCGGGACGGGGTGGGGGGTAATAGGAACCTATATAAGAGAAAGACCCAAAAATTGGGACTGTCCCTATAAAATCGGGACATATGGTCACCTTATGGCACTTAGTTGTGGGGTGAGGCACCTGTCAGACCACACCCGAAGCCTCCTCCTTCATTTCTCCCCCGCCTCACACGACTCCTCCCTTCTCGCTGGACCCAGCAGATCCCAGCCTTCCTCCTTCCCAGGATGCCCACCCGTGACTCCGCTCCCCTCGTCCCATCCCCCTCCGTACCCATGGCTGCGGTGCAAGAGCCTCCTCCTATGCAGCTCTCCCTGGCCGCCCCATGGGCCTGCGTCCCCCTCTCTCAACATCATCAGCTGTCTGCTCCGTCTGTACCCAAGGGGGTTGGGTGCCAGGGGCAAGGCTGAGAACGCAGCTCCTCTGTTGGCCAGGAGTTCTCTGTGGCGCTGGCCGGGCGTTCCCTGTCGCGTGCTCTCTGGATTTAAAATTTTCCTTCCCCTCCAGACGGAAGAGGAGTTTAACCAGCTTCTGAACGGTTTCCTAGCTGAGCGGCACGGCGGGAAGGGGCCTCTCTTCCAGGAATCGGCTGCTCGGGAGACTCCCAAGGAGGTGGACTGGCGCGCAAAGGGCTACGTTACCCCCGTGAAAAACCAGGTGGGTGCTGGAGCAGAGAGCTCCCTGCTAGGGGCCTAGCCCCTCAGCCAGCCATGGAAACCTCCTGGCCCCAGAGCCTGGGACAAGGCAACCCGCAGGTGGGCCTGGCTGCCCATCAGAGCAGCGTCGCTGCCTGTGGTTTCCTGGGCTGACGGATGGAGGCTCCGGGCGCCCTTTGCGGCCCCTCTGGAATGTGTGCTCAGCCCGGGACCCTAGAGGACAGCCTGGCAGGTGGGGTGGCAGTAGCTAACCTGCGTGGAAGTGGTAGGCCCTTGGCCTATCCTGGTTTTCATGAAGCTCCATGGAATGGGCCTTTGCCCCCCTGGGGCCCTGCCTCCGCCTCCCCCAAGCACCTTTGCCTGGAGCTTGAGTCTGATCCAGACCCTGCTGTGCAGGAGTTGGGTTCAGTTGTTTCACGTCGGCCACATGCCCCGCCGGGTTGGGATGGGAGCTGAGACCTCTAAAAGCAGGTGGTGGTGGGAATCTCTGTCTAACAGCAACCGCCAGAAGGAACAAGTCCCAGAGGTGAGGGTCCCCGCTGCAAATCCCCAACCCCCAGTTCTGCAACAGGACGGATGGGCAGCCAGAGCACCCCAGCTGCTCTTTGCTAGTGCTGCTTCTGCTCCAGTTCCCCGGCCTCGCGTTGGGGCTCAGACTCCCTCCTGCCACTTTCCAGCAAGCAGGAGCTTGTAAGGCCCTGACGATTACCTAAGCCGACGGCCTGCATCACATAGCCCAGAGAACCTCCCGCTGGGATTCTTGCACTGAGCCCAGCAGCTCCCAGTTGAGCTAGAACAGTGGTTCTCAACCTGCAGCCCCATCAGCACCCGGCTGCGGCCCATGGGACATCCTCAGGGCCATACGGGTAAACAGCTGAGAACGTCTGAGCTAGAACCTACCCTCCACCTACCCGCCTTGCTTTCTGCAGGGCCACTGCGGGTCATGCTGGGCTTTCAGTGCCACAGGAGCCCTGGAGGGCTTGGTCTTCAAGAAGACGGGCAAACTGGTGTCGCTGAGCGAGCAGAACCTCATGGACTGCTCGAGGAGTCTGGGGAACAACGGGTGCCACGGGGGCTTCATGACTCGGGCCTTCCAGTACGTACGGGACAACAAGGGCATCAACTCGGAGCTCAACTACCCCTACTTGGAGAGGGTAACGTTGGCGAGCATGGCCTTTGGGGGCGGGCAGCGGCTTCTCCAGGGAATGCTGCCCGAGCTCCCGTTCCATCTCCTTTCTCTGCAGGACGAATTCAGCTGCCATTACAACCCCCAGGACAACGCTGCCAACTGCACCTCTCTCATGCAGATCCAGGTGGGCAACGAGACAGCTCTGGAGCTGGCAGTGGCCACTGTGGGCCCGGTCTCCATTGCCGTGGACGCCAGCACTTTCCACTTCCGCTTCTACAAGTCAGGTATCAAGCGTCCCAGAGCGTCTCTGGCCAGAAGAGATCACGGGGATAATCTAGCCCAGTAGGCTCCAACCTTTTTTCCATTTGCGGACCCCTAACCTTTTGAATGGAGGGGCGGACCCCTTTGGCAATTGTAGGTATAGTCGGCAGACTCCCGGGGGTCCGCTGACCACAGGTTGGAAGCTACCGATCTCGTCTGATGTCCTGCATAATGCAGGGCGTAGGACTTCCCTGAATTAATTGCTAGAGACAGCAGATCTTTTAGGAAACCTTGATTTAAAAATTGCCCACGAGGGAGAATCCACCATGAGGCTTGATAAAATTGTTCCAGTAGTTAATTACCCTCACTGTGAAAAGTCTGCCCCTTATTTCCAGTCTGAATTTGTTTAGCTTCAACTTCCAGCCATTAGAGCACGTTAGGCCTTTGTCTGCTAAAGAGCCCATTCTCAAATATTTATGCCCCATGGAGGTACTTCGAGACTGATAAGTCACCCCTTAGCCTTCACTTGAAGCTAAAAAGACTGAGCTCTTCAAGTCAATCACAATGGGGCATGTTTTCTGAGCGATGTTGTTATACCAACCTAACCCCCCCGGTTTATTCAGCAGTACCTCGACAGGAGGCCGTCTCCGGTCGACAGAGCTACTGCTTCTCAGGGAGGTGGAGCACCTACCCTGACGGGAGAAACTCTCCCACTGACACAGGGAGCGTCTTCGCTAAGCGCTACGGTAGAACAGCTGGAGATGAGCCCAGATTCTTTGATCGTCGTGATGGCTCTGCTCTGAGCCCTCTCCAATTTATCGACGTCCTTCTGTGCAGACCAGAATGGGACACGGGATTCCAGCACTTCGGCTCGGGGCTTTTTCACTGAGCTGTCCGGGCTCCCATCTGGAATTACTGGGTCTGTCACAGCTCATCTCCCAGGGGGCACTTTATTACCCCGTTCCACAGCGGAGCCTGCTATCTTACAGCCGGCAGGGACAAAGGACAGCTCTGTGCTGCTCTAGGGGCTTCAATCCAATGCCCTGGGGGAGCTTTTCCTTCCGATCCGCTGGGACCTCCCCGCAGGGTCTGCTTCTGCTCCGAGAGGGAGAGACCCCGACAGCTCATCTCACTCTGGCTTTGCTCTCCCCAGGAGTCTTCGCTGACAGCGAGTGCAGCCACACCGTGAACCATGGGATGCTGGCTGTGGGCTATGGCATATCCCAGGAGAATGGGACGAGCGCTGCCTACTGGATCCTAAAGAACAGGTGAGGGGGAGTAGCCAAGCGAGAGAACTCTCCCCGAGGCACACTCATGTCTGTCGCTGCATCCAAAGCTGCCTCTGACCCATGCCCACTGTGAAAATGCACCCCCCCCACACTTCCTCCCCAGCCCCCAACTGTATGTGTACACACATCAAAACACCCCCCCCCCCCACCCCCAAGATGTGCACACTCCCCTCAGAATGCAAGTGCACACACACGTAAACTCCCCCACTGCAGGACACTCTATGCCAACTCAATCCCACCCCCCAGCATGCAGGTGCACACATGGGAACTCGCAACCCTTCACCCTGCTCCCGAACCACATGCATTCCCGTGGCCTCGGGATGGGCACTCATGCACCCCCACCCCAGAGATCTGTCTCGCCCTGGGCCTGTCTTCGGATTTTTGCTGTCTCAAAATGAAAGATCTAAGCAGCTGCCAGGAGCCAGGCGTACGTGGAGCGAGCACTGAGCAAGCCTCCCCCATCTAGCACTGCCATGTGGCTACTTTCCCCACCCTCTCCCTGGCGGCTCCTGAAATGAGAAGGCCGAGCTTGCTCGCTGACGGAGGGGTATTCTGGAGAAACGGCTCCGCTGAGGCTGCCAGGTTACTCCACTTGTGATCTAAGGCAGAGGGGACGAGCCAGTGGACAGCACCCCACTGCAGCATTTGGTCCCTTCAGTGGATGATCTGGAGAACCTGGGATCAGCCAACATACAGCTGGGTTAGGCAGATGCTCAAAGCATCCTTGAAGCTGGCCTCTAGCACGGAGGTTTTCAAACTTTTTTTTTCTGGCGAAAATTGTTGATGCCCGCGACCCAGCGGAACCGGGTATGACGGGTTCAGGGTGTGGGAGCAGGCTCTGGGTTTGGGTGGGGCCAGGGATGACAGGTTTGGGGTGCAGGAGGGGACTCTGGGGTTGAGGGGGGCTCAGGGCTAGGGGTCGGAGTGCAGGAGGGGGTCGGGGCTCTGGGCTGGGGGTGCAGGCTCTGAGTGGGGCTGGGGATGAGGGGTTTGGGGTGAGGCTTAGGGCTGGGGCAGGGGATTGGGGCGTGGGTTTACCTCAGGTGGCTCCTGGGCAGCGGCGCAGCGGGGGTGCAAAGGCAGGCTTCTCAGACAATGGGAGTCTGGAGCCAGTGCTCGGGCGGTGCACGGAGCCCTGTGGCCCCCCGGCCTGGGGGGGTGGGGGGGGCTGCTGACTGCTTCCAGGGCGCAGCGTGTTGTCAGAACAGGTAGAGATTAGCCTGCCTTAGTCGGGCACTCCCGCCAACGGGACTTTTAACGCGGCGCCTTCCATTCCACAACCCAGTACTGGGTCGCCACCCGCAGTTTGAAAACCACTGCTCCCGCATATTGGGACAACTTTTCTCTCTCATTACAATGTTCAAACTTCCTTCAGCTCCCACAGAGATTCTTTCACGCTCTCTTCACTTTATCTTCCCGCAGCTGGTCTGAGCAATGGGGCGAAAAAGGTTACATCCGGCTGGCGAAAGGAGCCGACAATCACTGTGGTGTGGCCAATCAAGCAAGCTATCCCATCTTGTAGCCAGAGCTGGGTTTTCCTCCTGCCCTAGGCCTGCATGGCAGAAGACCTCACATACTGCATGGGGTTGTTTTTTTTTCTTCCCACAGTCTAAATGACTTGATCTTCGTCTTCAGCAGGGAGATTCTTTTTTGCTCCCAGCAGCGATTTCTGGGCTGTTTCTTAGCTGCGATTTACTTAGCTTTAGAAGCGATTAAAAGTTGTGCAGCAAATTGCTCTTGCAAGCCTGGGTAAGTCATGTTCTGGTCACGCTGCAGCATTGCTGAACGAGGCTTCGTGCTCTGTCCAACGGAGTCATAAAATAAAGAATGTTTTCCTGTCAGTGTGAAAACCAGTCTCCTTGTGGGTTTGAAAGATGATTAAAGATGCTTCTCCATAGGAGCTTTCTATGCACCTTACAAGTTCCCTTAGCCATTCGATCCCATTTTCCTCTTTAGCTAAAGCCCAAAAGCCCGTGGAGACCGTGCCAAACTGGCTGCCAACAAAACCACAAAGAAGATGACGGGAAAGTATAGAAGTGCCCGTAACCTGAGTCTGTATTATCTAAGCACTGGCTATGCGCAGGCACTGTCCAGGACCGCAGAGCTTACTGTCCTGAAGAGATGTATTTACATAACAGCCAAACAGGAACAAGGCAAAAAGCAATATAAATAGCTCCCATTACATTTGCTCTCCAGCCCCCTTTATTCAGATATGATGATGCCAGGGAGAAGGAAACTGATTAGAACCCCATCAAATTCTCTATATAAATTTTTCATTTTATTTTTATGGGGAATTTTGTGTTGTTTCATTTTCTCCAGCTGGAGGAGGGTCAGGTCCTGGCCCCAGTGGAGTAGGAAGCTGGGGCTGGGGAAGGGGGTTTGCAATGCAAGCCCACCCCATACTCTTTGGCCCTGTGTGCCAGCTTGCAATGCTACTCACTCAAATTTGGCCCAGCCATCTCCCACCGTCCAGCCACCCCGTGCACTAGGTCCCCAGGCTCAACCTCACAGGCTGTAGCTGCCACTGCAGGGGAGTTTTTGTTTTATTTTACATCTTGTTTTTTCATTTTATTTGGTATTTGCAAAAAAAACCACGGGACTATCAAAATGACCATTACCCAACAACGGTAATGTTTGAGTAAAGCAAAAGGGGAGTACTGCCCAGTGGTTAGAACTGGGAAGCATGAGAAGAGAGCACTATTGGGGCTGGTCACGTCCCATTTCTGTACCTCAGTTTCCCCATCTGTAAAGGGTTAAGAAGCTAGGATAACCTCGCTGGCACCTGACCAAATGACCAATGAGGAGACAAGATACTTTCAAAGCTGGAGGGGGGGGAGAAACAAAGGCTCTCTCTGTCTGTGTGATGCTTTTGTCGGGGTCAGAACAGGAATGGAGTCTTAGAATTTAGTAAGTAATCTAGCTAGATATGCATTAGATTCTGTTTTCTTTAAATGGCTGAGAAAATAAGCTGTGCTGAATGGAATGTAGATTCCTGTTTTTGTGTCTTTTTGTAACTTAAGGTTTTGCCTAAAGGGATTCTCTATGTTTTGAATCTAATTACCCTGTAAGGTATTTACCATCCTGATTTTACAGAGGTGATTCTTTTACTTTTTCTTCTATTAAAATTCTTCTTTTAAGAACCTGATTGTTTTTTCATTGTTCTTGAGATCCAAGGGTTTGGGTCTGTGTTCACCTATGCAAATTGGTGAGGATTTTTATCAAGCCTTCTCCAGGAAAGGGGGTGTAGGGTTTGGGGAGGATTTTTGGGGTGGGGGGGGGAAGGACGTTTCCAAGCGGGCTCTTTGCCGGTTATATATCTATTAGACGTTTGGTGGTGGCAGCAATAAAGTACAAGGGCAAAAGGTAAAATAGTTTATACCTTGGGAAAGTTTTAACCTAAGCTGGTAAAAATAAGCTTAGGGGGTTTTCATGCAGGTCCCCACATCTGTACCCTAGAGGTCAGAGTGGGGAAGGAACCTTGACACCATCCATGGCAGGTGGATGATAATACCAACCAAATGCCCTGCCGTGGTGGGAGGCTTTCTGTTTGTAAAGCCCTTTGAGCCCCACAGTGAGGTCTCATGTGCTTGGACCCCTTTCCCATCACTCCCGCCCTTCTAGGCTGTATTCCTTACTTGTTACCGAGGCAGCAGGTGGCTGTGTGTGAGGACTAAAGCTCTCAGCTGAAAGCTAGAGTCTGGGAGGGAGGCTCCCAGGGGAGGCCCGTGCCAGGGAAGGCCAGAGAAGCCAGCAAGACTGGTGCTTCGTGCCTGAGACTGTTCAAATCTGTGTGTGTGTCCAGAATTCTGCTAAATGAGCCTTGTTACTGCTGTAGCTATTCTAGCCTATTCTCAGGACGCTGCACCGAAGCTGCCCTGTGCCTTGGAAGCCTGGTTTGACAAGTTGCTTTGCAGCACACAACACTCAACCCAGCTGGTGTCCTTCATGCTAAGCCTCCTGAGATTTATGAGAGAATTAGCAGCTCCTTCAGCTTTATTTGCCCCTCGCTCTATGAAATCGCAAGCTGTACTTATGGTATAAATCAAGCATTTCATAGCCAGCTTCAGAAACAGTTAGATTGATTTCTGCGCTTACAGGCAGGAGAGCTGGCTCTCCGCAGCACCTCTGTCAAGGAGCAGCCAGTCCCTCATTTTTAGTAGGGGGGCCTGGGCTGCTTAAGGTCGTTGCATGAGCATATGAGCCAGACCCAATGGACACTGACCTGAAAGAGATGGAGGGATAAGGTGACCAGATGTCCCAATTTTATAGGGATAGTCCCGATATTCGGGGCATTTTCTTATATGGGCACCTATTACCCTCCACACTCTGTCCCGATTTTCCATACTTGCTGTCTGGTCATCCTACGGAGGGAAGAGGAGATGTTTTATTTTATGGTATGGGGCTGGCAGGACTAATTTAGTGCTGGCCTATTTGACAGCCCTGGAGAATGAAACCCTCTCTTTATAAAACGTGGGCAGCGAGCAGCAGTACAAGCTTCTCCTATGGTGTGCGGGCAACATAGTGACCGTAGGGGGTGAAAAGGATGCATTCGATCCAGTGTTGTTGTAGCCATGCTGGTCCCAGGATATTAGAAAGACAAGATGGGGGAGGTAACACCCGTTACTGGACGTCTGTTTGTCCAGCAGAAGATATTATCTCACCCATTCAATCCTCAACTCCTCCGCAGGCCCCTTGCCACGTTGCTACTGCTCCAGAAGGGCACCGTGGCAATGGTGATGCACGTGCCATTCCGACCAGAAGAGGAGGACTCGTGGCACCTTCGAGACTAACCAATTTATTTGAGCGCGAGCTTTCCTGAGCTGCAGCTCACGGCACCGGATGCATTCATGAGTGGCGTTGCTGGGGTAAGGTCACCACTGATCACCTCGCCACTGCCCAGTGCCACAGGTCGGCGGCTCTGCGAACCCGCTCCGGGCAGCGCCAGGGGAGAAAGCCGGCGCCCTGGCAGAAGGAAACCGCCGGCGCCACAGCTCTACCTCTGCGAAGAGAAGCTGCCGCACGCCTGGCGAACGTCGTCCCCACGAGCCCTGCGCGGTGCCCGGGCGGCACCCCCGCCGCGCCGCTCCTTCCCGTGTGCGGCTACGAAAGGCCACGGCGGCCGCAGAACCGCCCCCGCACGCCCCCGTGCAAAGCCAGCCCCCCCTGCCCCGCTCTGCAAACAGTGCGCTGGGCCTCCACTGTGCAAACACCGCCTCCCTCGTGCAAGCGCCCTCGTGCACGCACTGGGCCATTGCCCTCGTGCAAGTGAAGCGCCCTCGTGCACGCACTGGGCCATTGCCCTCGTGCAAGTGAAGCGCCCTCGTGCACGCACTATTCCCCCACACCACGCTGGCTCATGGCAAGGCGGGGGGCCGGCCTCCCCCCCTTGCTGCCCTGAGGGCTCTAGGGAGTAGAGTCCCCAAAGGGTTAATCTACCCGCCAGGTACCTCTGCCCACATCCAAGATGGCCGCCTGGGGATGCGCCTCACGTGGGCCGGCTCGGCCTCGTTCTGAATTGACCCCTCCGCCTCGCCGTACGGAAGCTTCTCTTCCAAGATGGCGGCGCCCAGCGGAGCAGGCGCCAGGCGGCTCTGGGCCGGGCTAGTCCCCGTTCTCCTCCTGTTCGCCGCGGCCGAAGAGGGGCCCAGCACGGCCGAGTTCGACGTGCGGCCCGGCGGGATGGTCCATTCCTTCTCCCGGAGCCTGGTGAGGGGGGAGGGCGCAGTATCCCCCTCCCGGATTGGCTGAGCCGCACGTCGCTCAAACGTCCCGCCACTTTGATTGGCTGAGAGCCAGGGCGGGAGGGGTGATGACGCGGCACTGGGAAACAGGGCGGGTCTCAATGTGGCCGGGTCCGGGCCGCTTCCGGCCAAGCGGCTCCTGGCGGGGGCAGGCGCCGGGGGGGGGCGGTCCTGAGCCGGGGGCGGGGCATCCGGGCCTGTAGCCCCGCCCCCACGCGGCAGTCTGGAGCCCCTCCCCGAGTTACTGGGGGGGAGGGTCGCTCCATGGGCCCCTCCCCAGTGGTTTTTTGGGGGTAGGGCCCTATTCACCTGTATCCCTTTCCATAGGAAGAGGTAACCCCCCCCCCATACACACCCAGCCCCCACCAAAGGCCTGGGGTCCTGTGGGCCCCCCCCAGGTTTTCAGGACAGAGGGTTCCTATGAGGTCCCCCCCCCCACGTGTCCCCAGGAGGGCGCTGCGGTGTCTGTGACTGGACCCCTGCCAACCCCCAGTGACCCACAAGTGTCCTGCATCTGAGCCCTGCAGAGACTGCGCCCCCCACCCCCGTCGCCAGGCTGCACTGGAGGCTGCATGAGGGAAGGGCCGCGCCAGTCAAGTGCGGCCTCCAGGCTAAGGGTTCCCGGGCGTCTGGTTTTCGACTGGAACGCCCGGTCGAGAAAGGACCCTGGCGCGCAGGCGCCAACTTCCCTTGGCGCCGGTGGGCGCTTGCGTCCCCACTGCTCCGCCCCCTCCCTGTCCCTGTTGGACCCCTCCCCAAATCCCCGCCCCGGCCCCGCCTCTTCCCCGAGTGCCCCACGTTCCTCCTCCTCCCCTCTCCCTCCCAGCGCTTGCCGCGCAAAACAGCTGTTTCACGGCGCAAGCACTGGGAGGGAGGGAGGGAGAAGCAGGATGCGACGGTGTGGTCAGGGGAGGAGGCAGAGATGAGCTGGGGTGGGGAGCTGCTGGTGAGTGCAGAGCACCCACCAAATTTTCCCCGTGGGTGCTCCAGCCCCGGAGCATCCACAGAGTCGGCGCCTATGCCCTGGCGGCTCCATTAAAAGTCCGGTTGGCGGTGCAGCGGGGGCCTGGGGCTAAGGCGGGCTTCCTACCTGCCCTGGCTCTGCGCTGCTCCTGGAAGCCGTCGCCAGGTCCCTGCATCCCCTAGGCACTGGGGCGCCCAGGGAAGCTCTGCGCACTGCCCCAGGGCCGGCTCCGCAGCTCCCCCTGGCTGGGAACCACGACCAATGGGAGCAGCGGGGGGTGGCGCATGTGGGCATGAAGGCACCTGGAGTGGCTGCCCATGCACCTAGAGGCCACAAGGACCTGGTAGCCACTTCCTCAGAGCTGCAGTAAGTGCCGCTGGGACACCACACCCCAACCCCCCTGGCCAAGCCAGGAGCCTCCTCCTGCACCCCAAACCCCTCATCACTGTCCCCACCCTCAGCTGGAACCTTCACCCCCCTGCATCCCAACCCCCTAGCCCAGCCTGCACCCCAAACTCCTCATCCCCAGCCTCACCCTAGAGCTCACACCCCCTCCCGTGCTCCAAACCCCTCGGCCCCAGCACAGAGCCCCCCACACCCCAAACCCCTCATCCCTGGCCCCATGTGACAGCCTGCATCCCCAGCTGGATCCCTCACCCCTTCCTGCCCCCCAAACGCCCGCCCCACCCTGGTGAAAGTGAGTGAGGGTGGGGAAGAGTGAGCAATGGAGGGGGGGGTGGAGTGAACGGGGTGGGGCGTAGCCTCAGAGAAGGGGCGGGGCGGGGCGGGTTTGTTCGGTTTTGTGTGATTAGAAAGTTGGTAACCTTACTCCAGGTAGCTTACCCAAGCAGGGGCCTTGCTGCATGAACCCAAATAAACTTGATCCTGTGCATATAGGAAACAAGATATTTAGCCATGTTTTGGGGGAATTGTGAGCACTTCACCCCTTCCTCATGTTTGGAGAGAAAATTTAAGGGCTTTTGGCAAATCAAAACCTAAATTCCCCCCCGCTTTTCCAGGTTACATATGTTCTGTGCAATGCCAGGCAAAGTGCATATGCTCAGCAAGTAGCTAGTACCATATCGTGACCTGTTTCAGAAAGACAACTGACTTTTCTCTGCTGTTTTCAAGGGGGATCACACCTGCACGTTCACATACGCTTCTCAGGGAGGGACTAATGAGGTGAGTTATTTGAGCACTTTGCTTAAGAAACACAGGTGCAGAGGCTCCAAGAAAGTCGAATAAGAAACCTCTCAAGAGGTCTGTATGTAGGATGATTGTATCTAATCACTCTGTTCACCATTTTTCTGGGTCTCTGGAGAACATTAGTATATTTAGATTCCTAGACCTTGCAGTGTAAGAATAAGGAACAGTTGCATCTCTCTTTCTGTGCATAGAAATGATTTTATAAAGACCTCTGTTGCTACCACAGCAACCCAAAGTGTTTAAACGTCTTGAGATACCCCCCTCCCCCCCCGCAAAAATAATGAATGACTTAAATTAATAAGTGTTGGGTCTTTTCCATTGCCTTCTGATTGTTGTGCCTTTAGGATTCGTGTATTCAAGCTTTTCTCCACAACCACTAGGGCTAGAAATTTGGTTACAAGAGTCTCTTGTAATCCCCTGACTCAAGGAGCTGGGGCTTTAAAAAATCAAACAAATACCATGAGAGTTGGAAACACTGCATGTCTGCAAAAGAGAATCACCTGTGTCAACCTCACCTGTGGATGAAGTCTGTGTGTGCTACAATAAGGCTGTGTTTAGCAAGTCCTGGATAACTGGAAAGCTTATATAGCTTTGTGGTTAGTTTTGCTTTTTTGCGGGTGTCTCTCTAGAAGAGTGTGGCATTTTCAAACCCCTTACTGGTACTGGGAAAATGTGTGTGCAAACAACCAGCAGGCTTTCTGTTCTTAAAGATGCTTGAAGACTTTATTATTCCTTGTATTGCAATAGTACATAGGAGGCCCAGGCGTGGATCATGGCCCCATTGTGCTAGGGGCTGTACAAACACAGAACAAAATGAGTTTAGATTCTTGTGGCAGTTTCCTCTGGAGAAGGGTCCGCCTCTGACCCTCTTCCTGTAACATGAATGGGGTTATGGCTTTTCTAAGGTGGGGCATGGGGGGGCTGCTGCTGCTCCACTCTTTTATTGATACTGGCAAGAAGCGGAGCTAGAGGAAAGGGGTCCCCTGTGATCCACCCACTAGAAGTGAAGTATTAAAAAGAGCCACAGGTAGTTAAGTGGCAAACGGTGTTTAACTGTGTGTGTGCAGTTTTAACAAATCACCCTTTATCAATGCAAAATTTGTAATGAAAGAGGTGCCGGGGCTCAAGAAATTTTTTTACTTACATAACTGATGCGCCTATCCAAGAGGTGCCAGGACTCTGAATTGCTAATCCCTGAATTGCCAATGCCAGGGCTCTGAACTGCCAAGCCTAGAGGCCCCTGGGCTCAAGCAAGCCCTGGCACAAATTAGGCACTACCCTTCGTTTGAGAATCATATTCTGCCCTTCTCAAGCTTTCCCTCCTCATGCAATAAAGCCACAATATGAAGAATGTGACTTTAAGTTTCCAGTCTTGGTCTTTCTCATGAGATCCCTCCCCGGGAGTGTCAGTTGTATCTGGGGAGGCTTGTGATGTGCGTAGCTAGCATCATTGCATTGGGCATGACTGTAAATGCTACCAAGATATACTGTTCAGACCTTTTCTCTCCACAGCAATGGCAGATGAGCATTGGAGTCAGTGAAGATGACAAACTCTTCTCCTGTTCAGTGTGGAGGTGTGTTGAGTCATTTAAGAATATGCCGTGTTCTCTGTACCTGGTCCTTTGAATCCCCTCTGCTCTCAGTATTCAGTTCTCCAGAGAGACTCTCTGTTTGGTAGACTCTGCCCCACTTTGCACTCTCCTGCAGAGATCTGAGGCTTTTGGGTCGTTTGGGAATATGTTTGGATCTGTTAGGGCTCAGTTTCAACTCCAAATTGCTGCCCCTTTCCTTTGTTGGGTGGCGTGTCCCTCCTCATGCCGCAGCTGGGATCTTCTACACTGAGGCCTGGTCTCCACTAAAAAGCTAGGTTGACCCAGCTACATCGCTCAGGGGTGTGAAAAATCTACACCCCATCACAACTTAGCTGTGCTGACCTAACCCTCAGTGCAGACAGCGCTAGGCCGACGGAAGAATTCTTTTGTCGACCTAGCTCTTGGAGGGGAGGATTACCTTCGCCAGTAGGAGAACCCCTCCCATCGGCATAGGTAGTGTCTACACTGAAGCGTTCAAGTGTAGACAAGCCCTCAGACTTAGTTGGCAGCCAGGATTCAGGGTGTAGATAAACCATCACACGCTTTCATGCTAGGTGGTCTTTCCCCTTCACAGTCCCTCCCTAGTGTGCTGAGGCACTCCTGGAGAGCACTGTCCCAATTAAATGAATACAGTAATAGCTGGTTTGCAGAATCACCAGACTTGGAGTCCCTGGTCACAGATTAGCCTAGCTGGATTCAGGCTAGACCCTTGTGCACATTATTAGCGGGCTTTTGCCCCCAGAGGAATCTTCAGGCTTCCAGCAGTCTCCTTATCCTGGCAGCAGTTTGTAAACCCTGCCGTCTCCTAGCCTTTCCTCACTAGGCGGAAGTACAGGAGAAAGGTGAGGTACGTTCCTGAAGGAACAGTACACCCTGTGATCGCTACGCATGCTCTCCCTGCACCTCTGTCTTTTCTTGGGCCGGGCCAATTCACAACAGGGACACCCAGCCCACAGCAGAGACCTGCTTTCTTTCAGAGCATTTCTTCCCACCCCTGTTGGCCAGTAAGAGAGATACACTTCACCTCCTCC